CTTGTCTGGCGCTAAACGACGAGGACGCGATGACACGTGGTTTCCGGTGGTGAGAATCTTGTGAGTGACCTCGTGATGCAGTTGCGTTGGAAAAGCTGAAGGTTGGAATAAGTCTTTGTATTTCCTGATCAGGGCAGCAGTTGGGCCAGCTAAATCGGGGGTGAGGACCTTGATTCCAGGAGGTGTTGAACAGCACTGGATTCCAGCGATGCTCAAATTGGTTGCTTGATCCACCAGTCTGCAAACTTTCACGTCTACTGGAAGATCAAAGTGTGTGAGAAAATCACCCCCTAGGATAGCAGTTTGTACATCGGCTATTAAAAATACCCAACGAAACGTGCGTCCAAGACCTAGGTTAAGCGTCATGGAACCATGGCCATAATTTAGGATTCAAGAATTGTTTGCCGCACGAAGCGTAACAGACGTGGTTGAGTGACGTTCCTTGGATGAAGACGGTAAGACGCTGACTTCAGCACCAGTACCGACTAAGAAACGCTTGTGAGTCAGGTTATCTATAACGTGAAAAAGGCGACTTACATTGGGGCCAAGAACAGTTGTCACCGTTACTCTATGGCCTTGTCGTTTTTCTGTTGACGATGGAAGTTACAGCGTGTCTTAATACAGAGAATTACCTCCATTTTTAACACCTTTCAGCCAAGTGACTGGCCAAAACACATAGAAACCCATCTAAAAATCGAACATTCAAGACTTCCGGCCTCCACTGTGACTAAACCGGACCAGAATCTTAACCCTACGGTTCGAACCAACCGACAAACCTCGCCTTCCGAACTCTCGGCTACATCGGTAGCGCGGCAGGTTTTCCCTTGGTCTCCTGGAGACGGCGTCGGTTATCCCCTTATCTCACTCCATTCCGGCGAATCATGCCAGCAATAAGCAACGATGTACACACGGTCCGAATCTATCAATCTATAGTCCCAGTTTAATGAAGATCGTTCCCCCGCTATCCAGAAAGCCAAGATAGAGGGCCGGCAGAAGGAAGGTCACGACAGCCACATGCAGGCAGATACGGATTCGAGGATACGAAGAATGCTCCTCAAGGTTGGCGCAGGGTCGAGGGTGTCAAGCACGAGGAACACATACCATAATAAGCACTGCCGCTTCAAGGGACCCGACCTCAGACAACAGACTGTGGCTCCGTAAGGGAACCAGGCGGCATCAGACACCGGACGGCTGTGACATAGCTTCGAAATAGGGAGAACCACATCCCAGATCGGCACGCTCACAGTCCCAGGGATGGACCGACATGTGGCAGCATCTCCATTAGTCGTCACAATTGAGTTCCAAGCAGTGGTCGTTTGAACAGCCCTTTCAGAGAGAGGGTTTGCGGGGGCCAGCCGCCTCTATTAGCTGAACATTCCGTTAACTGGGCGTATGTGTCATATGCGAGCTAAGGACCGAACGAGGGCATGTCCTTATTGATCAGAATGTCAGCCAATCGGCTCGAGTGTCTAAGCTCTTCACCCCTTCACGGATATTCCAGCACAACCTTGTAGGAAACCCTAGTGACCCCGTAAATACGGTTGTAATAATATTTCCTTGTCACCATAAAGAACTGTCTGAAATTACCATGCCTCTTGATATGTCCTACCAGGCGGATCAATAAGCCAAGGACCGACGCAGTCGCGCGACCTTTCAGCTAGACACAACTGGTGACAAACCGAACCCACGATGTCAATTTTGGCGGAGCAAATCCAAGTAATTTTACAGCGGCAACAGAAGCATTTCGAAGAAGTTCAACTGAGGCTTGTTAAATTTCTGACGTGCCGTATGTTGCTGAATGCGACAAAAACATCTGGGCCCCCCTCTTCCAAAGATGCTGCTGCCAGCTCCATTACTGAATTCAATTTCGACGCTGAATCGGGACTTACTTGTGAAAGTTGGTTCAAAAAATATGAAGACATGTTTCAAGCCGACTTTTCTCAGTTTGATGGTGCATGGAAAGTTCTACTGTTGCTGCGGAAACTTATAAGTTTCCGCTGTTTCAGATGTCACTACTGATTTCGCAGATACTGTCAAGATCCTGGCCCAAATATTCGATTAGCCCTGCTCCTTGTTCAATATTCGTTATCAGTGTCTCAAGATTGCCCAAAGGGAAACTGACTATTTAGTCACTTGTGCTAGTGTGGTCAACAAGGAATGTGAGCGCTTTCAGCTCAGCACCACGAACGAGGATCAATCCAAGTACCGCAACTTCGTGGTGGTCTTTAATCGCCACATGATGTAGATATTCGGACCCGGCTACTGAATCGAATGAAACAGGATTCAGAGTGGCAGCTTCAGTAATGCCGAATACCAGCATCTTATTAATCTCATGGCAGTGATAGGATTTTCCAAGTTCTTTTAGCGTGACATGGAACGCAAAGTAGCTTCCAATAGGCAATCAAATTCTAAAAGAACTAAAAGAAATCCGCCCATCCTGTTGGTCTTGTAAAGAATGGTATTCACACCACCGTCCCCACCAAAACCACAGGTTCAACAATTGCAGTCGAAATCATCATCATCATTGTCAGCTGTAATAACCGCGTNCTGGTTGTAGCTGCCACAGTTTCGTTCACCGATGATTTTTTGGGGGGATAGGTACAGTGGGCTGTCAAGTGGGGGGGTGGAAAAGGAGCTATGCATTGAAGGCAATAGCTTGGATGCACGAGCGCCATTGAGGTCGCGACTGGGCCATATCTGACAATGTCTCTAGCTATTGATGTGGCCTGTCTCGGGGTCCCCATCCAGGAAGACGGCAGTGACCAGCGCAGCTGAGTTTGCTGGTAATGGCTTTCATACTTCGCTGCCAAGTCATTGTTTGACCGCCTCTGGCTCTCTTCCACCCTTCACGTGGTTGTGCAAAAAGAGCCCTTCGAGGAAGTCGGTCGACCGGCATAAGCAGCACGTGGCCAAGCCAACGCAACCTATGCAGTGCGATCAGTTCATCTCTCGAGGGTGAGTTATTTCTCCCGAATACCATTCGACGTACTTCAGAATTGCTGATTCGGTGTTCCCACCAGATTCGGGCAATGCTCCGAAGACATCGACCCTATCAGCACACGCAGTCCAAAATAGGTGTTTTCCGATTATACGACGGTTATATAGCCGCCAAATAACCACCTCCTATGGTTAACAGATGGTAATTTGCACCAAGATAACCGTCAAATAACCGAGGTTTCCGGTTATTGCTCGGTTAAATAACTGTCAAATAACCGTGTTTGCCGGTTATTGCTAGGTTAAATAACCATCAAATAACTGTTTTCCGGTATTGCTCGGTTGAATAACCGTCAAATAACTGGTTTCCAGTTATTACTCGGTTAAATAACCGTCAATTAACCGTGTTTTTCGGTTATTGTTCGGTTAAATAACCGTGTTTTCCGGTTATTGCTTGGTTAAATAACTGCCCAATAACCGTGCTTGCCGGTTATTTCTCGGTTAAATAACCGTCAAATAACCGTGTTTACCGGCTATTGTTTGGTTAAATAACTGTCAAAAAACCATGTTATTTTGTTGTTAAACGGTTAAACAACCGGGTTTACTGGTGATTGGATGACTAAATGAAATCAACACCATACTACCGTTAGTCGTTGTTACTGGACCTATCCTACGTCGTCATAACGGCTTAACATAGTATACGTAGCCACTCATTAACCGCATTGTAGGGCCACTGAGAAGCTAAATAACGGTGTCGTAGCGTATTCCTTCCTAGAGGGACTAGCTGGTGGCTTCTTGACCATTTATTAATCGAGTTCAACGGTTAAATAATCGCGCAAAACCGTTTGCGGTTAACAAACGCAACTTGACTGACCTACACTGGTAACCACACTCGTGCATATCGTCGTATCCATTGCAGAATATAAACCTAGTAACGGGATCTTAAGAAACGCAAAACAAGGATAAAAATATGTTTGATATACGAAAATAACTGTTTCACAACCAAACCGAGCCAGTTCGGAGGCTTGTCCAATTCGATGATCCCAGCTTCTTGGTTCAATACGGACGTCTGAAACAGTGACAAAACGTATGTGTAAGCATTCGATGTATCGGTTACTACTGATAAACTTGTCCCAGTGCAAAGTCGAAACCTACTGCCAACTGATCCATGCGCGTTCTCTGGGCCAGTCGGTGACGTGCGTTACCGAACCACTTTTGGATTTCCTTATCCAAATCCTGTCGGCAACAGTCTGTGGGAACTGGGTCACCGAGAATTGTTACTGAAACGACAGTAAGCAAGCTATCTCTGATCACCTACCTTCGATTAGGGTGCAGAGTCTTGTGTGGCAGAAGGGAAGTTTGTCAACAGACCCCGCGCAGGCGACACTGACGGCGAATTCGTCAGCCAAGGCCTGTCGGAAACACAAACGCACTAGGTCGGCCATGGTGGCTGCACTAAAAGATCGGAAGTATTTCATCTGGGGTCAAAAAATGAGATCAACAACACTGAATTACCAGTTCAATTTGGCGTGGTCCCTCTGCCAGCTCACTTTCCAGTTGGTTCCACGAACGTTTGCTCCGGAGTGGAAAAGTAAAGCCGGTAGTTCCAGAAGAACTATGGACCTGTAAAAAGGAGTTGTCAGTGCGGACCTGCAGGTATCGAAGACCTTCCGCCATTGCGTCCATTTTTCGATGCAGCTGTTCTTCGTGCTGGAGCAATGCTGCGATTCCTGGGGTTTGGAAGAAAAGTGCAGATGTTGGGGATAAAACAGGAAACATGGGGATCTCTGGAGCGGTGCTTAAAGCGTACTGTGGCAGACGGTGCACCGTCTGCGGCATCATATATACGGGCTGGGTGGATGTGGACGGGACGGGTGCGGGATGCTGGGGTATGCGCTCTGGAGTTGAGTGGAACAAGGCACGGAGTGTCGCCTGCGAGAAGCTGGGGTAAGGCGGATATTGTGGCACCATCAACCTTGGTTTTTTTCGGTGATGGACTGATGGAGAGGGAGGGGCTTCGTTCTCCGGAGTTCCTGAAAGAAGTCTTGGCAACATGTACGGTAGTCTTACTTTCGACGAGGATGGTTACGACCCATCTCAATGGTTACATCCGAAGTCTCCAGGTTCGATGTGTGCTGGAACTTTCTCTCATGTTCGTGGGCTTTTTTGGAACCATCTGAAAAGTTAATGCGGTCTACACGACACCTACCGTAAGTCCGAATGACTTAGCAATTCAGCTTCATTGATCCAGCTGGCGGCTGCATATGAAGGCGAACGGCCTTATAAAAGTCCTTCGAGTGAACTTTTGGCCATTTAGCACAGTTACCCTCAATCCATGAAGAACTGAGGACTGCACACTGCCATAGGCCTTGTTCATGTAACTTCACAAGACTGTAAGCCTGATACGGCATACAAATTACAAAAACATTACGGTATAGAGCGCAATAATGGGAAAACTACAAATAAGTCATTGAATGGAAGCATGGCGCATTTGCACTGCATAAAAGAGAGGGAACAGCTACTTACAACTGTGGACAATTTGTTCACCACAAAAATATTTAGCAAAAGAAAATTAATGGGATGGGTGAAAAGTGATTAAACGGGGGAAAGAAATGAAATATACTTAATTATGCAGTCGGCCTTTTCGGGATGTTCCACCCCTGTCACAATGCACGGATAACCACCTACGAAAACAACGTTATCCGGTGGACTGGCAGATAAGGCAACTTTACCGAGATTAAAGAAACGCTTTTTGTTCACTGATGCTTGTTCCAAAGGAAAGCCCGCATCGCAATCGGCATGGTTACCTGGGGCGTTTGTGAGATACGATTCTGAATCCTGCAGGCGTTTATAAATCTACCTAACAGGATATGTGGGACTTTTCACAAGGCGCTTAAGTGCGAGCATTTAAGACTCCTACGGGAATGCTGGAAAATTGTCCAGAGGCCCGTGAGACGAGACGTCATCCGGTAAATGCAGCAGACAATGGACATTGTACACCATCTCCTGCAAGCCATATAGATTTTGGAACTTGTTAACAAATACTAGCAATGAGGTTGGGGTGGCGAGTACATCGACACGATCCGGCGAAGCCCGTTCTCAATGCCCAAGTGGATGTATTCTCCTGGGGGGACTTCTCTAGTTGGACATGGCCGGGGTGTTCTCATCAGTGTCCGCGCGTCTCGAGGCAGATCAGAAAGCTTAGGCTGCAATGATATAACCAGGCGATTCACGGTACTGAAGGAGACATTGGTCGAAATCATCCAGTCTCGGAAAATGTCCGCCAAACTAGCCTGGAACATATTCTCCTCTTCATTATCCGCCTCATTTTGTTGTTGTCATACATGTATCAGCAGTCATGACTTACCATTCCTCCGGATAGAAATTCACAAACACGTGGAGACACAAGCGCGTGGGGCCGCAGGCTATTGACACACCCAAATTGAGTTCGCCGAAACTATAGGGTTTTCGACGTTTCTATTTTAATGGGAAGTCACCTTCCCGTGACATGTTGCACGTAGCATTTTGTTTAAGTGAGCGAAATGTCAAAGTCATTGACCGTCGCCGATTTGCATTGTTTGCCGGTTTACGCGACATAAAACGTGAAATCGCAATTTAGCATATTTTGGCGTTCTTCGGTGTTCCTGAAGAATAAAATAACATCCTAAGAATATTTAATGCAAACACCACCCTGTAGGATCAGTCGCAGGCGTTTGTTTGCTTTAGACACCTCAGATTTAACAAATGGCATATTTTTGTATGGTGAACCTGCACACAACACATTTTCCGCATGGATCTCATGTTCCATCAAGTGCAAT